CTGATGAAAGCTTCGAGGAGAAAGACCCTGCAGTTTTGATTGTCGGTATGTATCAATGAACTGTCCTCACAAGGATCTCAGCTAACACAAGGGATTAGGTGCCGGCCAAGGTGGTCTCACTGTCGCTGCACGTCTGAAGATGCTCAATGTTGACACTTTGCTCATCGACAACGAGGAGAGGATTGGAGACAGCTGGCGCAAGCGCTATCACCAGCTCGTGCTCCACGACCCAGTGTGGTTCGACCACATGCCATACCTTCCATTCCCGGACAGCTGGCCCATCTTCACGCCCAAGGATAAGCTGGCCGATTTCTTCGAAAGCTATGTCAAGCTGCTGGAATTGAATGTCTGGACCCGAACCGAAGTCAGGTCTACATCGTGGGACGAGGACAAGAAGCGATGGGAGGTCGTGCTAGAGCGCAGCAAGGAGGACGGGACCTCTGAAAGACGCCTCTTGCACCCACGCCACATTATCCAGGCGACTGGTCACTCGGGAAAGAAAAAGGTGCCTATTTTCAAAGGGATGGACAACTTCAAGGGCGATCGTCTCTGCCACAGCTCGGAGTTCCCCGGTGCGAACCCAAACTCTGAGGGAAAGAAGGCGGTTGTTGTCGGCTCGTGTAACTCCGGACACGATATCGCCCAGGATTATTATGAGAAAGGATATGACGTGACCATGGTCCAGCGCAGTTCGACCTGTGTGATCACATCCAACTCCATCACGTCGATCGGGTTGAAAGGCTTGTACGAAGAAGGCGGCCCCCCAATCGAGGACGCAGATGTGTACTTGAACAGCATTCCCTTTCCTCTGTTCAAGGCGCAGCAGGTCAAAGTCACCAAGTTGATGAACCAGAACGATGCCAAGATCCTTGAGGGACTAGCAAAAGCGGGATTTAAGGTTGATATGGGACCTATGGACGCCGGTCTTATCACGAAGTACTACCAGCGCGGAGGCGGATACTACATCGACGTGGGTGGCAGTCAGCTGATCATCGACGGCAAAATCAACGTGAAGCAAGGCCAGGAAATCAGCGAGATTCTCCCAAAGGGAATGCGATTTGCGGATGGCTCGATGATTTACGCCGACGAGATTGTTCTTGCGACTGGATACCAAAACATGAGATCTAATACTCGGTTGATCTTCGGCGATGAGGTGGCTGATCGGGTTGGTGATGTCTGGGGACTTGACCAGGAGGGTGAGTTCCGGACTATCTGGCGGCGAAGTGGCCATCCTGGATTCTGGTTTATGGGTGGCAACCTGGCTCTTTGCAGATATTACTCCCGCATTTTGGCTTTGCAGATCAAGGCTATTGAGGAGGAAATCACTACTTACTGAGTTTTGAGAGTGGACATGGACAGTAAACAGTGCCAGCCAGTGATAATGAATTGAAATGAAAGCAAAGTTCACGGACATCTTCGTCTTAGATCCATGCACAAAATGAACCCGTGGCTGTATACATATGTACCATAAACCGATCCACCTCTCGATTTGAAAAGTCGCAGCCTAACATTAACACCATTACACCACGGATATACAAGATATACAATCCCCAATCCCTAAATCCATAAAAAAAGCTATTGATTCATAAACTCAACCATCCCTCCATAGAAGCAACCCAAACCCCAAGCGTCAAAACATGAGTATAAAGCCAATTCTCCAAGTTCCCATAAAAATCCTCACCCCCAGAGCCAGCAACAGGATCCGTCAACAACAAACACAAACGCAAATGCTCCAAAACAGAACTCTTCCGAACAGTAATCTCCACCCCATCCCGGGTCATACACGCAATCCTACTCTTCCGCCGTGCCTTTCGATCAATCGCCACCAAAACAAACTGATCAGCGTCACCATCTTGTCCACCGTTTGAATTTGGGAGGGGTCGTTTCTCCCATTGCATTAACATTCGACATTCTTCGGATCCGGTGGTGTTATCTGTGTTTTTTATGATGAAGCGGTAGTTTGATGGCCGGGTTCCTCGCTCGGATTCTGCTGTGCTGGGGTTTGGACTGGCTTGCCAGATACAGCGTGCGTCCCGGAAGTGGATTGCCGAGGCTGGGTCGTCTTTTGATTGGTTACACATTGCTGCGATGATGTCTTTTTCTTGGGTATAGTGATCGCTAGTTTCTGATATTTCTTTTGGCTGTTTTTGTCGTGTAGTGGTGACATAGGGTTCATTGAGTGTCGCATAGATATCCCTCGTGCCGAGTTTTGGGCGATGGGGAAATCCCCTTGTTAATTTTGATTTGCGAAGTGGTGGTTGCCATATTTCTAGTACGGGCACTGGTCGGTGATTTGGGGGTAGTTGTTGGATTTGCAAGAGTAATTTGGGACTGAGTCGGAGTCGTTGATGAGATTTTGGGGGTGGGCGTGCTATTTGGAATTTGGCTTGGATTTTGATTTTGGGATGTGATGGAGTTCTGGGATTGTGTTAGATATGCGAAGCAAATATATGGCCTGGTATTGTTCTCTTCGTTCAAAGGGTTTTACTTACCGTTCCTCACTGGCTGTGTCGCTTTCATAATTAAGAGACCCGGGAGAACTCATGATGGGATCGTAGAGAGTTTGAATTGATGTGAAGAGAAAAAAAGACTCAAAGACAGAAGGTCAAGCTTTAAAAGTGCGTTGAACTAAAGAATTCTTGACCCTACCGTACTCGTATCCCAAGGTGAGCACGAGCCATGTGGAGAAAATAGACATCTGGCGAAAAACCCGAATACGGGCAGTTTTTCTGCTTAAAACAATTGAAGTTATTTGCGCTGCCTGAAAGCTTGACATTTTCACGAGACATCTGACACAAATTGACATCCTCTCATTCACTGGTGTCCCGATCGCGGTTTGCCCGAGGCTAGGCATCCATGCTCCATACCGCATTTAGAAATGATTGCGATGCCAAGCCCCAAGGACTGACTTTGAGCTTCAGGGCAACTTCTTACTTGAAGCTGTGGATCATGATCGGCAGACGTCTCGATTGTTTGTGGTCAAGGCTATTGGGGCCGAGTCAGTACGCCCGCGGGTGAAGGGCAGTGAAGGGCACAGGGCGACATTCACTGCCTCAACATGGGAGCCTCAACATATGTATAGCGTTATTGAAGGTTGCGCTGGGAGATAGCCATAGCCACGGTATATGATGGAAATATGATGAATGCCCAGACAACGTGTCAATGTTCCTTAACACCTTGAATTGCTTACAGCCCCAAAGGGCGACCTGCCAAGCATCCTAGTGGGCCGAACCCCTTAGCCTCGCACTATAAAAAGACGCATTTCGGGCAGTTTCCTGCCCCGAATGCCGATCATACTTAGTGCAGTGACGACCCTTGCGAGACAATGACTTCGCTGTCGACAACATCAAAATTTGCAGGGCCAAGTTAGCCGTTCACCGGGCACAAGTAGAGTACGTCATGTGCGACAAGAGACTTCAAGCCCAACACAAATGGCTTCGGAATTCGGCGTTACTCGCGAATTCCGTACACCAAAACCAAAGCCTCGCAACCAGCAATTCTCTCAAACCTCTTTGATGTCCCGAGCTCCCCGGTGAGATAAGACCTCGCCCTTTACCCATGTTCCAACCCCCCAATGCGCCCAGTAACAAACCCTTTGAACATAAAAGAAATTAACAAGCCACATATCAACAAGCAAAACCAAAAGGCCAGTCAAAAACACGGCAAAAGCCGGCGATTCATGACAGACCCAAACTCCGCAGCCGCATTAGTGGAAGCGCCCTAGAGAAAGATCAAAGACCAAGCCGAAAAACTGAAACGCATCTGCCTCCAGCCACCAGGCTGCATACACGGCCAACGGCAGATACGTATGATAGCAAAACACCACCAGAACACAGCATACCCCAAGAAAGTAGCCCGAAGAACAAACGGATATACCCAATCAGGCCAGCTGCATGTGCTGTGAGAAATTTTCCCCCGTCATACGCTGCAATGCCACCGGAGTTTACGGCCTGGCCTAGGACTTGGGGTGCGAATGATCCCTGGCCGAATGGGCCGCAGAGGATCATATCTTGACACACTGTGTATCCGGTGGGAACGAGCAATTGAAATCCTAGAAAATGAGAATTGCATCGAGGACCGTAGCGAGGGCGAGACCGGCTCCGACTTGGAGGTATGCCACGATGTCGGGTACTTGGAGTTGTGGAGTAACATGGCTGAAGCGACAGATGACGCCGCCGCATGCGCGGATGTCAAGGCCGAGATGAAGGGGAGGAGAATTGCTGTGGGGATATTTTGGGTTCCTGGGAATTGGAGTTGGAGCTGGACGTGCGGGAGGACTAGACAGGCTATTATTGCAATGCCGGTGTTTATCCACCGGAGGATGTAAATTTCTAAACATGCTTTGTCGCCGTATTCCAGGACTGCTAGTGGGAGGATTGAGGTGAAGGCGATGATATGCATGAGAGATAGTGGGTGGTATCGGTATTGCAGCGTGTTTATGCAGAAGAAGGCAGCATTCGATCGCCTAGCTAGACGTGAGCCACTTTCTTTGGTAGATTTAGGCGATTGTCGGGGTTTAGGTCCATGGAGGTTGATTCAGTTTTGACGTCGTTCGTTAAGCTTGAGCCAAACGTATAGAGATGAAATTGAAGCAAAACAATCCATGTCTTTGTAAGTAATTGCCTTAAGGTCAGTTCACCGGGCATTGTGATAGAGCTAGGTTGAGTAGATGCGCCGAACTCATAAAGCATGGAAAGAGATATTAGAAGCCGAGATTTTAGTTGAATCAATTGCTAATGCTGTAGATATCAGAATCTGCATCAAAGGCTTCACATGGCTAGAAAAACAAGGTAAGTTGCGCCCACATAGATCCGGGCCACTATACCGTAACCATGAACAAATTGCCCCTCCAGACCGGTCATTCGCTAAAAATAGAAAAACCCATTGTACCCTCGGAATAGTCCGACCGTGACTCCATGTAACTCCATATTGCCCAGACTGTTTTCAAAGATGCAAAGCGTATTCGTAACCGAGTTCGTAAGAGTAAGAAAAGAGGAGGATCATGAACTGCTGTCTTTGACCTCGGTGTGGGGGCGATAGTAGCCCGACCCCGCTGGGGTATCTAATCACGGTTATCGATTAGCAAAAGAGCATCAAGAGATGAACTCGGCACTTTCACATACAGCGCGCCTCGAGATCTCGGGGATCTGAGCAGGCCTGGATCAGACCGTTGAACCCGCGTGCCCGCACTTCCGCCATGTACAGCTTCTGCTCGTAGCCCGCGCTGAACCGGCCATCCTCGGCATCCGGGTTTGGGTTATAATGCTTGAAGAGTGATGCACCCAGGGCTGTGAGGGCGAGACAGCCGACCAGGACGATGACAATGATGGCAGAGTGAGTGAGGCCCATGATGTGGACTCGAAATGGGGTCTTCTCGGATCGGAGAATTGTGGATCGTGGCGTTTGAGATGGTAGAGTAGCGTCGGGTCAGTGCATGATGAGTGGGAGCCACTAGGGCTGCAAAGCGAAGGTGCACTGCAATTCACGTGGAACGCAGACTAGGATGGTGACAGGGAAGAAAGAGAAAGAGGGTGGGAAGAGGAAAAGCGAGAAGCGAAAAGTAAAAAGTAAAGAAAAACACCGAGCTACACGAAAGCCACGCAAAGCGACGCTTACGCCAACCCGATCCCGATGCCTCCGATTTCCAATCTGATCTGTCCAAAGCTGGGTTCATATTGGCCTGATTTTTGGTCTTGGTCTCTTAGTCTCTTGGAACCGAACTTCACATTTTATTCACCGTTAGAAAACGCCTGAATAGCCAAAAATAGGCGATGATAAAAGTATGCTGACGTGGATGGATGACTCGGACCCATTTACCGGTTAAAGCTTGTCTCACCCAGAAGAGATCGGTGATTGGTCAATTCAAGTGTACAGGGTTCATTGGGAGTATACATTCATAGGAAAATAGCATAAAAACCACAGATACATAAGATTAGACACAAATCGAACACATAAGAGAAAGTACAGATCACAAACAGACAAAATGGCAACAGAAAAAGGTCAAGATACAAACACACCACCAAGACACCAAGGCTAGGCAGCAACAAACATAAAATGCCGCATAGAGAATCCTTCACACTCTGCCGAGGCAGGTTCAATCCGTAAATCCAAATATGGCGGGGATCTACATCAATTAGCATCACCCAAAATACAGCAGAAATTCACCATTACCTGTGTGAGTGCCAAGGTATTAGGTATTTCGTAGTGAGGTTCTTCTAGCGGGGCTTGCAGATCTATTGGTGATCAACAGCAACTCTTATCATTTCCAAATGACCACTAACATTTCATCCGGTCTTCCCGGAAGAATTTCTCTCTTTATCTCTTGCGATCAGGAGTCTAACTCGATGTTGGTCACAAGCTCAATTACCAAGATTCCAGGGTAACAGACCATCGGAAAACTCATATCATGCCACGAAATTTAGCAACAGGTTCAAATTTTATTTCCATGTGTTTCGATATAGTCCTGCTGCTCAGTTATTGTGCCCAATGCCCGAAAGACCAACACGGAAACAATGCAAATTCCTTCCTCCTCTCCTCATTACTGTATCCATCACGCATTTTGCTGTTTTGAAGTATAGAAAAGAAGCATAAAGAAAGAAAAGCCAAACTGGTAGAAAGTGGACAACAATAACGAAAGCACGTGAGCCAAAGAAGAAATTAAGAAAGATAGAAAGGTAGATTTTAGACAGTCCTGGAGCGATACAAGCAAATTTATAACTTTGGTGCTCTCGAGATACCAACTATAGACATGATTTGGCGCTTTCTCTTTTTATTAGATCTCGAGTAGCGCTATTATGCAACTACTAAGTGAGACCCAACCAATTAATAGGCATGTTATGATGCCCAAGATAAACCAGCTCAGGATCAAGTGGTCGAAGAAGTAGTTTGCCGCTGGCATTGCGTTAATCAACATGTCCCTATCCTCAACGGTGGCCGTGCAGCATTCCTGACCAATAAAATTGCCTATTAAGAAAGCTAGGTTTCACTCGTAGCCCCTGTTCAGATAGCCGAGATCTACAGATTGAAATGTTAGTTGTTTGAGCCTTCAGGGTTAACAGCCCGACCGGCGCTTAGAATTATGTCGCAGGGAAATTTCAAGCGGATATTCTGGAACAAAATAGGCGTTCAGAATCCGGAGGACATGAAAGGTTTCACGGATCTGATCAGAACCACAACCATACAGAATGTACCTTTGATCTAAGACACGGAGAATACAGTTGGATTTATCTCCGCATTCTAGACTATGATTTCAACGGTTCAATTTGACAGGTGAACAAACTATTGCCAACCGGAAGATAGATATCGTGACAAAATGGAACCGTATTGCCATTTACCCATCTTCCAATAATCCTCAATTCTAAATTACTCTCCGATCGAAGGTGTTGAGTTGTAATCGTTCAAGTCTCAACATGCCAAATACGTAAAATTAGAGCTTTAGTATAATCAACTAAACAATCGGTTTTCTTACTTCCAAATATTCTTGGCTCGAAACACTTAGCCCATAGGACTCAACTCATCTGTCTGTCAATCCAGCCATCATTATTAATGATACATGCATATCTGAGATGAACCCTCACCCAATGCATGGGCGAAGCATCTAGTGGGCTGATATCTCAAACATACGATACACATGTACCTAGGGTAAGCGCAGCAGCAAGTATACAAAAAGCTTGAGGCATCTATTGTAATAAAAAATGTTCGTGAATCATCTGGTACGTAAAAAAAGAACAAAATCCTAGAGACATGAATTAGAGACATGTGGAGCTGCCTAGATCGTTTGAACCAAACATAGTCGCCCGTCGGGAGCTCTCGAAGAGCTGTTCATTGATTAAGCTCTGTGTGGGGTTAATGTCCATTTTTCTGCCGTCAGCTGCGGGAGCCAAATAATCTGGGATAGGGCAGTTTTCAAATGTCAATTCACCACAAGGCTACTAGTGCTCTATGATAGTCTCCGCAATTTTCAAATTGAGATGAGATAGGTATCGTACACCCTAATTATTAACCTTTTGTCGCTTATTATAGCTAGTAGCCTTGCTATCCGCCTGTTAAGAGTTGGGAGTACATGCATCGTCCTATAATTTTGTAGCTACACTAGCAATTTATACGTGCTCGATACATGAGTAATGGACAAGCTGACTTATCCATGATTGTGGAGAACACTATAGACTCGCCTAATCGGCGCTAAAGGTCTGCACATGCGGGGTCCTCTTAAAACTTTTGATACATTCAAACTAGAGGTGTTGCGTGGTCAGACTGTAGGATTGCTGGGCCAATAGAACTCCAGAGAAAAGAGTTGATTGAGAAACTATATGAGAGAATTCAAAACCGAAACCATCGATGCTTGATCTCCACAGGAATCCCGACCCCTTCCTTATCACAAGCAGTAATTGATCCCCTGTGGCTCATCTGGCCTTGGCGATGGACGGCATATCTACCGCAGCCAATGTGATCGCAGTCATTGAATTGGCAGGATCTATCGCTAAAGTCTGCGGGAAGTACATTATTGCGGTGAAAAATGCCAGAACCGACATTGAACGCCTCACCAAAGAGGTCGACAGCCTTTCCAATGTTCTTGCGAGACTTCAAGAGCTCCTGGACGGTCCTTGCGCTGCAAAGCTCCCAACCAGTGAGATCGCATCCATGATACAGCACTGTAAATGCGAGCTGTTGAGATTACAACAAAAACTGAACTCTGGCTTGAATGAAAAGGATTCGGCCAGAAGAGCCATGGTAAAACTTGGAATTCGAAGTTTACGGTGGCCGCTACGGTCCAAAGAGGTTGATGTGTTTGTGCGATCATTGGAAAGTTGGAAACAGCTGTTCAATCTTTCATTGCAGATTGATCAGACGTAAGGACTTTGCTATTGGGTCTGTTATGGGTTTTCGCTAATACTCCCACAGTCCACTTCTCTTGGGGGCATCGCATGCGATAAATACGATCCAGCAGGATATTTCCTTGGATAGCTTGCTTGTCGCAGAGGGTTCTGAGTTCGACTCGTACATCAATCAATACGAGGATGAATGCTTGCCAAATACCAGGGTGGACCTTCGCAATGAGATCATTGCTTGGGCCCAATCGCCAAAAGGAAAATCGATATTCTGGTTGAACGGAATGGCTGGCACCGGAAAGTCGACCGTTTGCCGCACATTGGCCAAGGATTTCGAGACAAAGGGCAGGTTGGGTGCCAGTTTCTTTTTCAAACGAGGCGAAGGAAGCCGTGGAACCGCAGCTCGATTATTTCCAACCATTACAAAACAGCTCATTGCTCGTATCCCCGAAATGAAACCCCTGATCCAAGCGGCGATTCAAGACGACGCTATGATTTTGACAAAGTCTTTAGTGGAGCAATTCAATAAGCTTCTCCTTCAGCCATTGATCGCGCTAAGAGATGTTAACCCGGCCATGATGCCTGATGTGATTATCATGATTGATGCATTGGATGAATGCGAGTCCGAAGAAGATATCAGGACTATCATCCGTCTCTTACCGCTTGTCAATGAAACATCGGCTGGAGATATTCGTGTGTTTGTTACAAGCAGACCCGAATTGCCGATCCGGCTCGGCTTCAAGGACATCTCACCCCATCATCATGACATTGCTCTCCATGAAATACCAGAGGCTATCATTGAGCATGATATCTCAGTATTCATGCAGGAGAAGCTTTTGAGGACGCGGAAAGAACACTCACTTCCCGACACCTGGCCCGGCGATGAAAATATACGCATTTTGGTTGAGATGGCAGTGCCATTGTTTATCTTCGCTGCTACCATATGTCGTTTCATCGCCGACCATTCATGGGACCCAGAAGACCGTCTGCGAAAGGTGCTTGAATACCAAACACTCAGCTTGAGGTCAAAGTTGGCCGGCACGTATCTACCCATACTTGATCAATTGCTAGTGAACCAAGATGACCTGGAAAAGAGGCAAATAGTTGAGGAGTTTCAAGAAGTCGTTGGTGCAATCATAGTATTAGGAACCCCCCTCTCCACACTCGCTTTGGCGAAGCTTCTGAACATCGACCAAAGAAAAGTTCGTCTCCGACTCAAGGCACTGCACTCAGTCCTTTGCGTGCCAGATGATGAGCAATCGCCGGTCAGAATCTTACACTTATCATTCCGTGATTTTCTTCTCGATCCGCGGGTTCGCAATGAATCACCACTGTGGGTCGACGAGAAAAAAACGCACAAGATTTTGTTCTTGCGGTGCCTCAGGATCATGTCGAAGCCAGATGGTGGTCTTCGAAGAGACATATGCGAGCTACGGAGTCCCGGGGTGCTGAATAGTGAAATCTCAAGCAAGACGATTGAGGCCCACGTATCGGAAGACCTGAAATATTCATGTTGCTTCTGGGTGTACCATCTTGAACAAAGCGAATTGCTTCTTGAGCATGTCGATGAAGTCTATGAATTTCTACAGACACATCTCCTTCATTGGCTCGAAATAATGAGCCTTTTGGGGAAAATCCCGGAGACGATTGGCTCCATCAATACTTTACAGTCATTAATCAAGGTGCGCTTTATCCTAGGTAATGGCCAGTAGTAAAATGCTAACCTTCATCAGCCGGCACCAAGTCACCCTGCAGAAAGTCTGATACATGATGCCAAACGAGTCGTGTTACAAAATGCCTTGGCTCTTACAATTGCTCCTTTGCAAGTTTACGTCTCTGCGCTAGTCTTTGCACCAACCAAAAGCTGGCTGAGGAAAAGATTTCAGCAGGAGATACCGGACGTCATAATCAAAATACCCACAATCCAGGAGGATTGGAGCGCCGCATTGCAGACCTTCGAAGGACACACACAGTCAGTCAAATCAGTTGTCTTTTCCCCTCGAGGCGACATGGTGGCATCTGGTGGCACTGACGGGACCGTCAGGCTTTGGGACATATCGACAGGGGTTCTCCTGCATCTCCTTGATGGTCATATTGATTCTATGCTCGAAGCTTCATTTTCTCCGGATGGGCGAACCATAGTGTCCTGCTCACTGGACAGTACCGTCCGAGTGTGGGATACCTCCAGCGGTGCCAATTTGATGACCCTGGACGGCGAAGGGGCTCCCGTCTATTGTGTGGCATATTCGCCTGACAGTCAATTTATAGCAGCGGGCTACTCAGACGGCAAGATCCGGATCTGGCAGGCGGACACCGGCACTTTGCGATACAAGGTCAAAGGCCATAAGGCCCAAATAATCTTGTTGAAATTCTCAGCGAAGGGGACTTTGGCATCGTGTTCCAAGGACAAGACTGTGAAGCTTTGGAAAACTGACACTGGGCATCTATTGCATAGCTTGGAAGGTCACACTGGCCATGTTCGCGCGATTGACTTCTCGCCAGTCGGGGATTTGATCGCGTCCGGCTGTTGGGATCGGACGGTGAAGATCTGGAGCGCCCTCACTGGAGCGCTTCAGCATACCTTTGACCATGAAAATGCCGTTGAAGCAATCGCATTCTCACCCGATGGAAGTATGATCGCATCAGCCTCATTGGATGAGACTGTGAAAATCTGGGACCCAAAGATAGGTGTCATCCGGTACACTATGCGTGGCCATACAGGTCCTGCACAAGACTTGGCATTTTCCCCGACCGGTGATCTTCTGGCGTCCAGCTCATCTGACAAGACAGTCAGGCTCTGGGATATGACAAACGGGACTCTCCAACAAACACTGAATGGTCATACTGCATGGGTGGAAGCCGTGGCGTTTTCACCAGACGGTCAGGTCTTGGCGTCGGGCTCCTGGGATAAAACTGTCAAAATCTGGGATACGAAAGTCATCAACACTGGCAGAGAAGTATCCAAGGGATACACAGAATCAGTTGAAACATTGGCGTTTTCTCCCAGCGGTCTGGAGATAGTATCAGGGTCTTCAGATAGGACGGTCAGAATTTGGAACACTGCCGGAGACATGGATAGAGTGCTTGAAGGCCATACATCTTCCGTCGAAGTTGTGGCATTTTCTCGTGATGGGGATATATTGGCCACGGGATCCACGGACTGTACCATCAAACTTTGGAGCTTTGATACTGGAGTTCTACTTCTTACACTGTTGGGCCACAGTGACTGGATCAAAGCACTGAGATTCTCCCCCGATGGCAGGCTAGTCGCATCTGGATCATCAGACAATTCATGCATACTATGGGACACGGATACCGGGGCCCTTCAACATAGATTCAAAGGCCATGAAGACTGGGTGCAAGCAGTCGCGTTCTCTTCGGATGGTGACACTGTGGCTTCAGGCTCGCTGGATGGGTCGATCAAGCTCTGGAGTGTATCCACCGGAACCCTCTGCCAGACATTGAGGATCCGTGAAGATCTACTCTGCGCGCTTGCATTCTCTCCAGAGGCAAGGTGGCTGGCGGTCAGCACCAAAGACCAAACAATTCAGCTTTGGAATCTGGATACCGGGTACATTGAGCAGATCCTGATGGTGGATGTGAGAATTTTGGAGTTAGAATTTTCCGATGACGGTCGGCAGCTGAAAACAGATAAGGGAACACTTGATATCTTTTCAGAAGACGAGATCTTCGCTTCGGCCCCAACCAAAGCTGGGGTGTTTGTTGAAAGGGAGTGGATATCCATTAAAGGGGAAAAGGTGATGTGGCTTTCGCCTGAGTACCGACCAACTTCTTCAGCTGTACAAGTAAGAGGTAATCTTCTGGCGATAGGCTCTAGTTCTGGGAACCTCATGATATTCGGGTTTGAGGGTTAGCAGAGCAGTTTGATGATAGATTATTTGTGATGTTCGACATGTCTAACTAAGATGGGTCAACATTACTGGATCAATTGAGCTCAAATGGATCACCAGGAAGCCACCTTTTGAGACCAGTGTTATAGTGGGGAACATTCATCTGTTGCTACGGCTCACTTTTCGTTTTCCGGAGCTGTATCTCATTTTGCATCTACCGACGTACCCTCGATGGGATCTCATTTCTCCACTTTGGAGTGCCAATACCCATGCTTCAAGTCATTTTGAAGGACGAGACGGTGCCGCTCAAAAGGAGATTATTGGGCAACCGAGCCTCCACCAAAAGCAGTCACAATTCCTGGCAGTACGTTTCATTCCGACGCTCTAACGCCAGGGGTTGAAACAGCACGGTACGTAAGTTTATTTAATCCTTACGCATTAAACTAGAGAACGCTGGCTTGAATGGGTAAATGATTCCATTGATGGTATGAGCTCTTAGTTGGAATATAACAAGTACTTGAAGTTGCTGTGTCACACTGGGGTTATCGGTCGACTATTCGTCTACGTCGCGGTGGACCATATCGCTCCTTTGACACACATTTCTCGATACTCTTTCTCCTGGACAAGCCTCCAGCATGTCGGCTTTCAAGGCGTGTGCAGCTACCCCTAGACATAATAAAGCTCTAAGATGAATTAATGTAATACATAACTTCGATGGGAATTCAGAATTTCCCAGCAGGACGTCTCAGAAGCATTCATCTGGCTCCAATAACTCGAAAACGATTGTTAACTCGATATTTCGTGCAATTTCTTCGCCCTTTTCCCTGTCACATTCCATTTGAAGAGTTCTGATATGTCCTCTCAACCAAAACCGAGACCAATGGCACACTATTTGAGAACGCGTGTGACCGTTTTCGGAAGCTTCCAGATGAAGCTCTCGTAACAGGTAAATAGCTTCTTTGAATTTTTGAGGAATCTCGGAGTAACGATGGGGGAAATTGTCCAGGATATGAGTCTGTTCCTGCAAGATGTCAATGACGGCAACTCGTTTGATGGGATCCATTTTTGGGGATTTTAGTAGTAAGGTAAGGGACAAGGACGTACCGTGGTTAGGGTTAGAGATTGAATATCAGCGAGATGTTGTTAACGGCTTGATGTCGTAGATTTTAACAGGACGGCCGAGATGTTGCTATTTGTACCTTTTCTAGGTTGCACTAAGCTGGCTTTCGAAGTAAATATCAGCCCCATTACACAAGGAGAGCACTGGTGGGATAGAATCCTTTGTTACTTTCCTAGCACAGAAGAATGGCAACAAACAAGGGGAGGCTGACCACACAAGGAGATAGACACAAAAGCCTTTTGCTATATTCTTTGTTCTCCGGATAGGCCTGCGATTTTCTTTGCTTACAGCTCGGGAATAGGACTGAGATTAGCCGACAAGTACCTGCCCATCCAACAACACTAGTAAAAACCCCGCAATAACTTCCTGCCTGTCTTAACCTATCTTTAAGAAATTGAAAAGGATTCCTCCACAGTTATCTCCAAGCTGTGCGTAGATTTATGACGAAGAAACCAATCTCTAGCCCTTGCTTACTCCTGAGGCTAACAGACTCGGTTCCTGAACCATCGGAAATAAAGTGCGCACTAAGGACCTTAGATGCGATCCCGATCTATATCTCCTAAATTCCATTCCATCCTTGTTATCAACATCTCAACTGATAAGACTGATACGCGGTATCCGTCCGCTTGCTTCGCAGCCAATCTAATCTCTTTCTGCCCGCAACAACCTTCCTAATTGCCATTAGCTTCCCCCACATGACCCAATACGAGGCCAACACAACCGATCCCCGCGTTTTTATTGCATATGAGATCAATAGATTCATCGAATGATTCAGCATACTCAAGACACTCGGGCATATTGAAATCCTTTATCTATGCAAGCTGTCATGTGGTCTCCAACCAGTCTCGTTCCGCTGCGGTTACCGCGGGGACTCCCTGGTCGCGGTGCAACCCCCCACTGTTCGTCTGTACTTACCCCGGTTGGAGCTGCCTAGAAAGGCTAGTGAGACAGGTTGGTTAGAAAGGACAAGATAAGTGAGACAATCAACAAAGTGGATCGTTGAGCTCAGCTATATGAGGACCCTTCCTTTCCTCGGATTCTGTTTACCATCACCCTCTGGATTGCTGACAACCTTACCATAAACAAAGACTTCGCTACCCTCTCCTTCTCGCCCATCAACTTGTGGATCATCCCCACTTCAACTTTACTTAGATGGAGGTTTTCTCTCATTGTCCCCAACGGCTCCATTGGCATTCTTATACTATATCTCTGTCTCAACCTCTTCGCAGAGCCAGTAGAAAAAGTATCCGGGCCTCTAAACCTGTCCGTTGAACCGACCATCGCCGTTTGCGAAACCGTAGTGGCAAGCCAAGAACTATGGCGATCGAGATTGTTCCGCTGGCCCAGGGGGACATACCTGGGGCTGTAGACTGTGTGCAGAAAGCATTTTCGGATGATCCTTATTTTCGATGGGCATTTGATGATCCATCCAAGGTACGAGCTACCTTTGCCCGAACGTCATACCCCTGAGGCTCTGTGGCTCCGGGGAGAAAAGTGGCACGAAGCGAAATGGAGATTCAAGGAATAACGGGTCTTTATAGTTCAACATCCAACGAAACGCAGCCTCCCTCGCAGCCCATTTTCAATACGGCATTAACTGCGACTGCCCCATATATGTCGCTAAAATAACCCGTGCCGCGAATGAGACCAAAAACGACCTCGAAGTCCGTTTACCACCGGGAACAGTGGTCGGAGTTGGCTGGTGGTATTCGCCACAGGCTCCTTCAAGACCACAGACTTGGTCTGTCTGGGCTCAAGAATGGCTTCTCTCTTTCCGCCAACTTATGAACAATATTCTCTTCTTTGGGCGTGGGGGTCTGAATGTGCGCCGATACTGGATCTGGAAGCAGGTGCAACAAACTGCCCATGATTCTATCTGGCAAGATCCTCGTGGATATTACTTTTGCAATGTTGTCGGTGTGAACTCCGAGGCTCGTGGCATGGGCGTGGGAAAGAAGCTCATGGAACGTGTGATGGAGAAGGCCGACCAGGAGGGAATGCCGTGCTACCTTGAGAGCTCTAAAGGTTATCCCAATGTGTGCATCTATGAAAAGATGGGATTCGAGCTCGTCAGGGAGATTGAGTGTGTGGATGGAGGGGATGTTTGCAAGGTATGTGCTCATGGCTACACTGCCCATTTTTATGACTGACCGAAAACACATCAGCTGTATTGCATGATTCGTAGCCCCAAGTCCAAATCCTAACATTTTAAAGCAAGATGTCTTCCATAGGAGAAACAAGACAGGAGCTTTACGCGCGAGCGATTGACATGACATAATTTCTGACGTTAGCATTTGAGTTCAAGCATATTGATGATGTTCATTCTTAATTAGCAATGCCAGCGAACATGATATATTTCATTTTATACCCATCGAAAGCCCCAGATTCTCTCGTCACGTAATATTTTCCAACCTGTTTCGGGGTTGCTTTATCAGACTGAAATCTAAGTGTGCCTTACAAACTCAAGCCCATTTCCCAAGTAGACCCATCAATACGAGTCCAGTGACCAAGGACAGGCCACCAGTCAACACTTTTCCAATGTGTGCATTCAACATTTCACCTCCTTCGATCACCCAGTCGCGGGCCCACATGTCCACAACACCAACCCACACCAGAATACCAGCAGAAAGTGCATCCAGTGTTCCGAGGGCAATCAATGTGTTTCTGGAATTACCATTGAAGGTGTGCAGCACACCAAGTCCAATCGCCATACCAATAGGTGTGATCAATGAGTACGCCGTCGCCATAATGGCCTTAGAAGGGAAAATGGCCCCCGGAAGGGTAGCAATGCGAGCACCGAGAGCCAATCCCTCGAAGAATTGATGGAAGACAATGACCACCAAGAGTGTCTTGTAAAAGGAGTCTCCGGCCACGACAAGAGTGAGACCAATCAAAATACTGTGGAAAAGAACACCGGCTTCCATGACGAGGACTGAAAATTTGCTGTTGGGCGTAGTTGGGTCATGAGGGCCATGGCTGTGGCCGAGACAGGCCAGCGTGGGCTGCTGCTGGCTTTGGGGATGATCAAACTGGCCCTTTTGGGATGTTTGCAGGGACTCGGAAGGAGATGCTGATGCTTCGGAAACATTTCTCTTACTGTTACGAGCGACAACAACTCTGTGTCCAATAAATTCCAACAAGAATGCAAGGAATATACCGGCCATGACCACAGCGGAAGTAGTGGCTTCGTACTCGAGCTCCCCAAGACATTCGTTGGTGAACATGAGATTGGCATGTGTATACAGCTAGCCGGATTGTTAGCTTGTGATGGATCGACATAGTTGAGACCGCTTACATGAACGAAAGCTGTTGCAATGATGATACCAGTTCCAAATTGCTTGATGATGGTCGATACCACGCCATTGATAGAGGCAAAGGGAAGCTTCAACAATAGAATTGGAGCAAAGACACCAATTGCACTAGTGACGAGAACGACGAAAAGTGTGCCAATTCGCAAAGGCACGTCATAGTCTCGTGTCTGGATACCGCACGAGGCATGGCTATCTTCCTCTGATTCACCCTCGCTGACGCAATGTCTTAAATGGAATGTTAGTAATGATCACAAGAAGTGACTTCCATAGACTGACTCAACACCTGCATGGAAATGGCAGTTCGTTTTGGTTTCGCTGGATGATTCCCCATGAACATGTTCACTATGATCGTGATCGTGGTCGCTCTCAGTCTCACTCTCTGTGGTAGTTTCTTCCTCTTGGATTAAAACATCGTTTCCATCTGCATCCATACAGTATCTATGGATTTGCACATTAGCATACTGTGACAGAGCCAGATGTTGGCCACTTACGATTCACTTCCGTGGGAATGACACCCGGTGTACTGTGCTGGTACTCCACTTGTAGGGGTTGATGTTGCCGAGACCAAGACTTCATGGCCATCTCCGTCAATGCAATAGATATCCGAGCCATGACTGTGACACCCAGTGATGGATGATGTCTGGGCTGAGGTAGTTGCGGTCTGCCCATATACTCCAGCAATGCCGACTGATATGAGGAAGGACCTGAAAATGAGCATCTTGCAAGGAACAATGCCCTAAACAAGTATTGTAAAATATAACCGAGAATGAAGTCCCAAGAGGGGAATAGTTTTTCAAGACAATGGTGATTGCAGGCCGGCAATCCTCTCTAAAAAGGCAGCTTGGTACCTGGGATGAGAGCACATATCCCAGGGTCTCACCCCCAAGGTTCCCGCTGCCAAGCGGAAGTCTCTTCTAGCTGTTCGCCAAGAGCAACCCTGGCCGTCAAAGAGGGTCTCTTTTTGGGACCAGATCGCTTCCTTGTCTCTTGTTCCTCCAAGGTACTCCCGCCCAAGCCTCTTGGCAACCCTCCGCCGAGCCTTTCTCTTGGCATCAAAGATCAAAAATTTCTCCTTCTGGCTGGAAAGCTAGGTCATAGCGGAGAAACAAGCCCTCAAGGTCCTCTCTTGGCAAATATAATTCCCCGAACACGAAAGAGAATAGACCAATATCCCGCCTCCTATCCTCGATTTGGTGTTGCGTGAATAAATTAGACCACGAAAACAGTGTAAACGAGGATGACAAAAGCCACCCTTGGCAAAGAGTTGAGGTGATGATTGACAGATGGTGGATAGGGAGTAGTGGATTGAAAGCATGGTAGACATGCATATATAAAGGCTGCAAAAGGGCGGTTTGCTACGATATCTGTAAACACGGTTTCAAAATTTCCTCCGCCAACATGTTGTTCCTCAACTTCTTACTCTCCTCAGCAGCAATTGCTGTAGCTCTTCCTACCTCGGGAACATTTGAAGGGAATCAGACGCAGCCCTTCTCTCAGACCGGGCTTGCACCTTGGAACGCCGGCGCTGTGAATCAACATCCCATTCATTCCAGCTGCAATGCAACCCAACATCGTCAGATCGAATTAGGTCTCACTGAGACTATTGCTCTGGCCCAACATGCTAAAGATCATATTCTGAGATGGAGCAACGAAAGTGCAATTTACAGAAAGTACTTTGGCGATCGTCCCTCTATGGAAGCAGTTGGCGCGTTTGATGTTGTGGTCAACGGTGACAAGAAGGATATTTTGTTCCGATGCGACAATCCTGATGGAAACTGCCAGCTTGAGGGTAAGGCACCTCTCTGCCCTTATTGAGAGTTGCTATGCTAAACATTTCATCCTGTAGGTTGGGCCGGACACTGGCGCGGCGAAAATGCCACGCACGAAACCGTTATCTGCGACCTAAGTTACGAAACCCGTCGTTCCCTCTCCACGATGTGCGGCCTTGGATACACTGTCTCTGGATCCGAAACCAACACTTTCTGGGCAAGTGACCTTTTGCATCGGTTGTATCATGTCCCTGCCGTGGGACAGAACTGGATAGATCACTTTGCAGATGGTTACGAGGAGGTTGTTGGCTTGGCGAAGGAGAATGCCACTTTGTCAACTCATGACTCGGAAACTCTTCAGTACTTTGCATTAGAGGTTTACGCCTATGATATTGCCGTGCCGGGAGTCGGTTGCCCGGGTGTTCAGCATGAGCACGAAGATCATGCTGATGAGACAACATCAACACCTTCTGTAACTACCACTGACAAGCCTTCGACAACGTCTGAGGTGCCTGAGGTAAGTAGATCTTTGCCTTGCTCAATTATGTGACTCCAAGCTGACTGACTTATGTAGAACTGCCATACACACGAAGGTGGCGTTCTTCACTGCACCTAAGTAATTGGAGAAAATGGTACAATGTTGACGAGGTGCGAGAGCGCTCTTGTAGATACCCTCAGACCACTCACGCTCAGCTTGTTCAAAAATAATATGTGCAATTGAATATCTATTCTCAAGAATTTTGAATACCATATCAAAATCCGAAATCAAACGCCGTAAATATGCCACGTCTATTTCATCCATCGTTCCTCACTTCATGAAGCAATAGTAACTTATGCCGATGCGCAGTGGCCACCGTCAACACGGAGATCAGCACCAGTCATCCAGGCGCTGGAGTCGGTAAGCATGTAGATGGTGGGTCCCTTGAAGTCCTCAGGGGCACCTAGGCGGCCAAGAAGAGCGCCGCGCATCCAGGTCTCCTCGACCTCGGGCTTCTCCTTGAGGAGAGCATCGGTCATGGCAGTGCGGATGTACTAATTCATGAACCATTAGCTAAAACTGGCTATGTCGAGGAAACGTGTAAAGGATTCCTTACTCCGGCAGAGAGGGTGTTCACGCGGATGTTGTGCTGGCCCCATTCCTGGGCGACGGATCGGCACATTTGGTGGACAGCGGCCTTGGATGAGTTGTATGCGGTGCAGGTCAATCCCTAGTGAGTAAAAACCTTATTAGCGTCTTGTGCTTATGTTCAATCGGTTTGTTAGGAGGCATACCCGGTTGGCGATCTGGCCAGACATAGACGCGATCATCACGATGCTGCCGGGAGTCTTCTGCTCAATGAAGATACGAGCACAGTGCTTGGCAGGGATGAATGTGCCAAGAACGCTAAAATAAAGCTGTGAATATCATGTTATTCTGATTAAGTGTGTTCCCACTCACTTGACATCAAGCATCTTGCGATATCCTTCAACGGGGTAGTCAAGCGCAGGGACCATCTGCTGGATACCGGCGCAAGTGATGGCACCCCGAAGAGGCTTGTTGCGGCGCATTGCCTCCGCAGCAATATCCTCCAGAGCCTTCTTGGTGGCCTCCTCATTGGTGATATCACACGAGGCGTAGGTCGCCTGCAAGCCGCGCAGCTTAGCCGTCTTCTGCACAGCAGCCCACTCCTCCTGGCTGGGTTCAGCCAGAAGATCCAGACAGGCGACATCGCCGCCAGCCTCGAGGACGGCGGTGGTCAAGGTCATACCAAGACCACGACCACCGCCAGTGATCATGACTGTGCGACCGGCGAGAGAGAAGAGGTCATTGGCTGGCGCGAAGGCAGCGGGCGTCTCGTTAGACTCCGGCACGACAGCCGGAGTGGTGTGGTCAAGCGAGATGGAGGGGGCCATTGTGGGTTGAGGTTGGGATTATGGGCGTAAAGAAGAATGTGAATTTTAAAGTTCTGAGAGACTTTCCTTTCCCAAAATTGGAGGACGTCTACTTCATATACGGTACATTCTGGTGCAGCCGCCTGCAGCGGCTATATACAACCCAACTAGGGAACTGTTGAGCTGGAAGGACCACAGTGGAACATTCTTCGACATATGAATTATCAGCCCAAGCTCCAAACTTTTTCAGTTTCACCGTGCCGACAAATCATGCCGATGCGGCCCGGTCGATAGTGGACACGCCGGGTCAGGCGTGTTTCCTATGACCTAGGTGGGTGCTAAATATTACTGGATATGGTTAGTTGGGATGCAGAATCGCGGGGCGGGGCGATAGACTGGGGAATAACTGGGGCTACGGTACCTGAGTATGCAGATGACATTTTCGGGGGAAGGTGTTATTGGAGAACTGAAATATCGGAACAACGAGGCCAACAGGAGTCCTTTAGACCCGTTGGCACGTGACCTAAATGTCATGATAACGAATATATGTGCATCTGCGGAGTGCTTAATTATTCCCAATACGGAAATAATGTGTTGTGCCATTTAAGAGCTTAGCCGGTCTGTGGATACCGATTTCTCGAGCCCTGGGCTGAACTCGCCCATCTTTGTCATTTTCTTAACTATAAATCATGCAGTCAATATGTTGCTTTGTTTTTTTTTTGTATGTACGGAAGGGAATCTAAGTTGAATTAAGGAAGATAATCTCGCGTGAAATGGTATTCTACACCGCGATAGGACACCTCCGGCTTAAATGGTACTAATTCATAACCGATGCGGCATTTATTCTAGTCATTGCCTCCGAGATGCACCCCGCAAAATGCGGAGCCTACCCGGCCCAGAAACATGGCAACCCGGGGGAGTTCAGGGCGATCGCCGACGCGGGATATTACGCCACGGTATCGTGGAATCTAAAATGGCGCCACTTTTTGCCTTCTAGGGACTATACTACAGTATTCAAACGGTTTATAAAGAGTGAAATGCCCCACTGTCTTGACTAGGCCCGAGTCAACATCCTTTGCTGCTGCTCAATTCCCAGATTTTTACCCCGGTCAATTGTTTGCGGGAACACGATATCATCATGACTTTCCTCGTGGGCCGGCTGTTGACATATGCTATCACGGCCACTGCTGGCAGTGGCTTCCTGCTGTGAGTCGAAACCTCATACTAGACTACAAATGGCATCACGTCGTTGGGCTACTGCTGACTTGAACAATTAGCTTCGGCTATGACCAGGGTGTGATGTCCAGTCTGTTGACTGGAGATGCATTTGTTGCAATTTTCCCCGAAATTGATACAACCAAGTCAGGGCACGGAAGCTCTTCTTTGCAGGGGACAGTGTAAGTAAACCTGCATAGTACACCCTCGAAGCATGACCGCAACTAACCTGTCGTGTTGCAACACAGTGTCGCCATTTATGAAATCGTAAGTTGGCATCCAGACTCCGTCATATTTATAATCCACAGCTAACAGATTTAGGGCTGTTTCTTGGGTGCAATTCTCTCTTTATTCTTTGGTGAACGGCTCGGTCGACGCAAGTGTATCCTGGCTGGATGTGCTATCCTCAGTATCGGTGCTGCGCTTCAGGCCAGTGCCTACAGCATTCCTCATCTCATTGTTGGTCGCATCATCGCCGGTGTTGGAAATGGTCTCAACACCAGCACTATTCGTGAGCTTTCCATCCACTTGGAGATAATAACTTGCGATTGCTAATATTGTTGTAGCCGTTTGGCATTCCGAGCTAAGTAAGGCTGCAAGCCGAGGCAAAGGAGTATGTTTGTATTCAATATTGTTGGAAAACTTGATGCTGACCCTTCTTATAGCTGGCCATCGAACTGGCTATTAACATCTTCGGTGTGATGCTCTCATACTGGGTTGGTAAGTTGTCTTCGAACTCTACATTCCAACTGACATCTTTACTAATTATTGACTCATGAAGACTACGGAATGAGTTATGTCAAGAACGAGGCCCAGTTCCGCTTTCCCCTCGCTCTACAGATATTGTTCGCTATCCTCACCTTCTTCGGCGTGCTTTGTCTTCCCGAATCTCCTCGTTGGGTTTGTTATAATCCGTCCAAATTTTCCATCACCCAACTAACATATGATAGCTCATCAAACATGGCCATGAAAGCAAGGCTCGCCAGATTATCTGGTCACTCCAGCACAACGCTCGTGAAATCGAGGTTGATGATCCAGTGGTGAACGTTGATGTCACAGAAATCACTCGGGCAGTTGAGGAGGAAGAGGAAGCATCCTCGGGAGGGTCCTTCAGGCTCCTTTTCCAAAACAATAAGCAGCGCTTCTTGTACAGAACCCTGCTCGGAATGGGAGGACAACTGATGCAACAGATCTCGGGAATCAACTTGATCACCTATGTGTGTACTTCCAGATTGGAAATATTGATTGAAGTGTTCTTGCTAACTCTATTCAGTACGCAACTGTTATCTTCGAACAGTCGGTTGGAATGTCCCACCACACCGCGTTGCTCTTGGCTGGTTTCAACGGAATCGCATACTTCTTTTCTTCCCTGGTCCCTATCTGGACAATTGAACGGTATTTTGTATCAAAATTAGGGTTGGTCATATGCTAATTTCTTTCAGACTTGGTCGCCGCAAGCTCATGATGTTTGCCGTGATTGGACAAGGATGCTGCATGGCTATTCTGGCGGGCACTGTCTGGGATGGTGGACGTGCTGCAGGCCTGGTTGCCACTGTCATGCTATTCCTGTTCAACTTCTTCTTCGGCGTAGGCCTTCTCGCTATTCCCTGGCTTTGTGAGTACCAATATTCCCTGAGATGTTCTTCAGAAATCAGCCTTACTAACTGACCTCGACACAGTGCCCGCAGAATATTCACCGCTGGCAATTCGAACTCGTTCAGCTGCTATGGCAACTGCGACAAATTGTAAGTGTTGATGTCTTTTTACACTGGCATAAGCTAACAGCTTTAACTCAGGGATATGCACATTCCTAGTCGTGGAAATTACCCCAGTCAGCATTGCCAATATTGGCTATAAGACTTATATCTACTTTGCCAGTATGTCTTATGAGTAGATCGAACATTGCATATCAATGATTGCTAACAAACATGATAGTCTTCAACTTCTGCTTCTTACCGCTCATCTTCTTCTTCTATCCAGAGACGCGCAATCTCACTTTGGAGCAGATCGATCGCCTATTCACTGGCGAAAAGGTTCAGCTTCACTGGGATTCATCTATGGGTATTGCCGGAGATGTTGACACTCGTGTTGGCAATGCTACGACTAAAGATCTTGAAAATGTTCAAGCTCAGCATATTGAGTAATTTGCTCGTGTTTCCGGCGGAGTATATGTTCGAAGAAGACAACGGGCCTGAGCTAAGCTTGCTGCTTTGTGTGAAACTTATAAATTATGCTACAATAGCCCATAGTGTTACATCTAATGAAATTCCTAAAGGTTACAACATTTTTACATTAATTAAATGGAATAAATTCGACTTTCTGATGGCACCAATTGAACTCTTTATCAAACGGCCAACGATTGAGTACACCGGCAATCCAAGAGGTGAATTTCTGGGGGATCTTCAAAAACGGAGTGAACTTTATGTTGCCCAGCAGAATCACACTCAACTCGTCGAATTCCATGAGAAACGGCACGGTCCTATTGTCAAATTGAGGACCAGCCGCCACCCCCACTTTATTAAGTCGGGCATCCACAACATGCAGACCATAAACAGGAAGCAGAAAATATCCTATTGGAGATACTGCCGATATACAAGTAATCTCGATATTGTATGTGCATGCATTCATGTACATAGTTATCCTTCAGGGCCTTGGTGGCCTGGTTTTTCAGGCCTTTAACGGTCTTGAAATGGGGTAACCATTGACTTCTTCCAGCAACGCTGTAAGGTCCCTTGGCTCAGTATTCACCCGGTTACCCCAATCCCGCAAGATGACACCCCTCGGGGAACCCCCGTCACCCTCCACAAAGCCGACTCGGGGTGACCAACGGAAAGTTACCGAGTGGGTCTCGGCGTCGCTGGGACCCCAGCGCTTAACGTTGCCAAATTCGGTAAAGATTCATCGCCTCTTCTACATCCCCAGCACATTCTATGCCTTCATTTTACCAACAAGGTACATATTTTGCGCAACAATGTCAAATATGTTTTCAAACAGCCCGGCTCCAGATGATAGGGAGGGAGTGCTTCAAGCTTCAGTCCCGCTAGACCTGCAAGGGTCGAATCCCCCTACTGGTGCAGAGCGGAAGAAGCGCACGCGGACTGGATGCGTCAACTGCAGTCGCAGACGGCGAAAATGCGATGAGGCTAAGCCCATGTGCACGGGCTGTAAGCGCCGGGGTGAGAAATGCCAATGGCGTATGATGGGTGCGTTTCGCGACTCGAATATCAAGGTGCTAGACTCAGACCACCCCTCTATGAGCCAAGGCGTGGCAGCTAGCAAAAGCAAACGCCAGAGCAAATTCAAGATTGTCAATACTGCAAACCCACGGACAAAGCGTGCACCCAAGCAACAGGGCCAAGTGCTCCCAGAGCAAGGATCAGTGCATGGGTCACCTTCACCATCTGCCCCGGACCACAGTGATACACCGGTGCCTGTGGCTGTTGCGGGGGACAATTCAGACCCCACAAATCCCCTGATTGCCAATGGGATCCCTGCCTCAAATTCCGGGGTAAACCAGGGTCTATCACCGCCCTACTCGAGTGATACGTCATCGCATCCACGAAAGACATTTGACGGATCTCCAGGACATGTTGAACTTCAAACATATGTCAGCCCTCTGGGTCTTCAAGAACCATCGCCTCACTCCCACTATGAACCAAATCTCCAGTTTGACTTCCAGCCGCCTCAAACTAGAGACGACTCCACACCACACCCCTATATCAATTCCAGTCCCGAATATGTGATCAACGATCTCGCTGCACTGAGGGATCTTGGCCAACATAGTCAGTTCCATTCGTCGGTGACAGGTTCTTATCAAACGGTGCAATCACCAGTGTTTGACCGCGGCGTCTTTTCCGATCCAACAGATCTTATCAACGATGTTTTCCTTCCTGGCTCTGCATACGAGGCGCTTCATACCACGCTACGTAATCGTCAACTATGGACTGCAAGGCCAGATTTTCCGAGTCGCCGCAGTTCGCAAGATTCCGTCCCTACGGTACATACCCCAACAGGTTATAGCGATGCTGGCTCAGTCACAAGGACGGAGAGGGGATCCCGGCGTACAGGATTCAGTAGACGTTTTGAATTGCCACCTGAAAGAGAACATGTTCTGTGGGAGAACTACCTCAACGAGATTTGCTCGTGGGTAAGTGAATTTGCTGCCAATCGGGTTGGTTTTCAAACTAACGCCAAAAGCTTGACATGTTCGATAATCAACGACATTTTGCTTCGACCTTCACTCAGATGGCCAAGACTTCAGCCCACCTTCGCTACTCAATCTTGGCATTGTCTGCACGACAGCTTGAAAGACAACAAAATGCGAAATCGCAATCTGAAAGTTTATCGCTATATCAAGAAGCTATTCATCTCCTCCTACCCGAGTTGGGAAGCAAGACAACCCCTGTCATTGCGTCCTGTGTCATTTTGTGTGTCTTGGAAATGCTGAGCTGTAAGTAATACTATCCCTCTCATATTTTCCATGGCTTACCGAAAATAGGCAATCCCAAAGAATGGCGTCGCCATCTAGACGGATGTGCATACCTCATCCAAGCAGCTGGCATCAATGGATTCTCCGGGAAAGAGGAGCAAGCGCTCTTTTGGTGTTTTGCTCGGATGGGTATGAGGTTCTTCCAATCTTCACTTTTATTACATGGGACTAACGAGTTTTCTGTAGATGTGTGCGGTGGCCTTATCTCTGAAGAAGAAACCATCATACCAATCCATAACTGGAGACCCAGTGACATGAGTTACAACGAAGCAGCGCAAACTTTCATCGCTTCAGCAAAGACCAACGTCGACACATATGCCAACTACACAGTATATCTTCTCGCAAGAACAGTGAATATTCTTTTCGGTTGTGCGTCTAAATCAGATTATCCCTGTACATCATGCCAGTCTGTCCCCAACGATGACGGCGACTCGTTTGTTCATCGCTGGGCAGATTCATTTGATCGCGTGGAAGAATGGTATGAAAACCGTCCGGCGCAGATGAAATCCATTTTCAGTGTCGCCGCTTCCGAACGCGAAGGTCGAGATCGGGCATTTCCAATTGCCTTGTATGGAAATGGGTCTGCGAGTAAGTATCATGTTATGGCTCGTCAACCTTGACACGGTCGGGCTAACTATAAATAGTTTCTGGAAACCAAATGTATCATGTCGCTGCCCTGTTGCTTCTCCAGAGAAAGCCTAAGACACTGGTATTGAATAAAAGACCGGTAAATTGCTCTTATGCCTGATCTACGTATACAAAGCTGACAAAATATTAGAGATCCGTTCTCTGGCACGCGCGGCAGATATGTGCGATCTCCGCATCTAATGCACACCAGTGAGTCTTCCTGCTCAGGTGGAATCCAGAAACAAGAGACAATTTGCTAACCGACCCTCATTAGTGGCTGCTGGACGAATGCATTACAACCTCTCTGGATAGCTGGAAAAGCCATGTCTCACTACTCTGAACATGCAGCCATTGTTGAGACTTTGGTTCGGATCGAGCGTGAGACTGGCTGGGCCACTGCTTGGCGTGTTGAAGACTTGAAAGAGTTCTGGGGCGAATATGACAATGATGAGGATTACGATATTGACATGGACTTATCTTGATTACGACTTATGATTCATACTTGAATGAGTTCCGACCGTTTAGGTTATGTGGTAAATAGGGGCACTTACAGCTGTTCCCCAGGTTCTGTTCATTGTAAACTCCAGTCGCATTTTGATTGACACTGTTCGCCATCCAAATAGCGCGAATGCGGAATCCATCCAGTTTACTTCTTGCATGGACCTCTTCCCACAATGGCTCGTAGAGCTCCTACAGGGTCGAACCATATTAGGTAGGGAAAAGGTCAACGAAACTAGGTTATGCCCCGGATGTGGAGCCACCAAACCACGATTAAGGGCTTGATTTCGCGAAAAATCCGAAAGCGTTGTTCACAGAAAGCGTGGGACACGTTGAAGAATTGAGTCACTTGATATTATTTATTAAGGAAGAATGGATCTGCTCGTGGAGCGCATGTTACATGGCAAGGGGTGATCCTGCGCGTTCAAGATAGACATCAAAGTAGGCATCAAGGGGTGGTATGTCTTCCCAGCCTCGATGCTTTGGACCGCCCAAATAAGGTGGGATTTTTGCCCTCTTTCTCTCTATACCAGTATATTTGCTCTTAAGTCACGGTTCAATTTAAAAACATCTATTTATCAGAGAACGTGAACATTAAGTCTTATCCTGGGGCGTTCCCATATCTTTGCGCGCGAAAGTCTGGAAGCCGAAGCATAACCCATGCCCTTGCTATGGAATGGGCAAGACATGAACCGAGACATGAAGAATGTCTTTCCAGCCAGGTAATCGTAGCCCTCGGCCTACGCTCTGCCGGTACTAAGCTCGAAACAATATATTCATCTTAGAGCAACCGTAGTTACCCTTTTAAGGCTTTGAACGGAGGAATCCGCGGAACGTAGACAGAGGGCTTCTAGTAACTGGTTGGAAGCACATTCTCCCTGTCTCAGTTAATGTCTTAGGAAAAGCTTCGATTTGGCTGATATCGAGATCTTGAGGTGGACTAGGACCGCGTTATTTCGGAGATTGGCTGGCTCGGCGAAGGTTATGATATAAACGGTGTGGTACGAGAGGCAGAAGATTCAAGCAATTGAACAGCTGAGAGCATGATAAATGCGAGAAGTTTGGCTACTTTGTTCGATTGTGATCATTTGTACCAATTTTTAACATATCTCACCTACCTCTCTACGTACCTACCTATATTTGTAACCTCGAAGACTTCGGGGTCATGACCTCGAGATCATGAAAATAAGAGCGAGGTCGTGATCCTGGCTAAATAGCGTGATCTGGACTGGACGTTGTGATGTGGACCGCTTTTACTTGACCTGAGAAACTAGTAGTGATTAATATGGTATGGTGCAGTTGTTTGCAAAGACTCGGTCATAGACAATAGGCCCGATTCCAAATCGCCATTCACTAGCCATTTGGTATAAGTGGTGGGCTTTGATTAAGGACTGCATTATGCTGCAGGTTTATGGATATTAGCCTGGACAGGGCACGTTGGAGTAGCCAGCGACCGGGATAAGATGCATAGGCTATTTCAGTTTCTCGATTTGTATTGATAAAAGCACTGGTTCAGCTTGCTATGCATCTTTGGCGTATAATTAGATCGTAAATTCGGGTTTTGATTGTTTGATATTGGTTCAATGTTGTATAGAGAGACCTTCAAGTCGACAATATATATCATCACCATCTATATACGTGACGTCCACCACAATTATTTTTCAGCTCCTAACTACAGCAAAAGATAGTATTTTAGAAAAATTACAACCGACAACTTGATAAAATTGATTCCTGAAATTTTATATCTGTGACATGAATGAATCGTGTCCGTCGGAATATGAGCACTTTGCTAGATCTCGGGTGGGCGATTAGCCGGGAGAACATGTAGCATTCGCACATCATCCAACATCGTGTATTCAGACGCGAACATACAAACTTTTGTAATAGCTAAACTAATTGAGCACATTATATTTGAATAGATTCCACAGCACCTCTATGAAAGCTTTTGGGGCCTCACTCGTATGGTGCATACTACATGCATCATTAGAGATGGGATCTGTTCTGTAATAGACTCACACGTCAAGCATGCCCCTGTCACCTAGGACCAACCTCCGTGACGCGGCCGAAGCTACTCTAACGCTGCCTGGGTTGTGAGCCTCGTAGGACTGAAGTAGGACGGACTTGAGCCTAAACCATGAGAGGGGCACAGAACAAGGAGTTGCATTATCGAGCGGTAAAAATGGAATCAAAGCAGCAACTGCCAATCGCATATTTTTGTTTTTCTCTTTTTTTCTGCAGGAGAAGATAATCCCCACAGGGAAGGGAGTGGAATGCTGCCCGGAGGTGGCACGAGATGTAGATCTAGGGATAAAAAGCAAAACGGGAAGAAACAGAATCCTTGCATCCCCGCCAAAATAGTTCATTTCACCATAGGGAGACGCTCGAATGTAGGATCTCGAATTCTCTTAGTTCTAGAAAATCCATGAAATTGCCTAGAGACCAAGTCCGAGTATTAGGAAGCTGCCACTCCTCCCATTACAACTTCTACGGGCACACCCTTCGCCCGTCTATACCAATTATATCAACTATCGTTCATCATTTGAGTGATGAGACTACCGCGGGCCAGCTGGACTTGGAGTGCATTCCAGGTTGATACGGCATTGTTTATGTACGGCGGTGTCTCAACAGTCGCCATTCCTGTCGAGGCAATAACCACACCACCTCCCAAAGCCAACGAACCTCGCCCTCTATCCCGCTCCAAATCGAAGCGACAAAGCCTGAAACGCTCACTCTCCAAGATCTTCTGATCTTGGATGCCACCATCCTCCCACCTGGCCGCCGTGGAACATCGCGATGAGTTTGCATGGACTCGGAGTGATTGGGGCCCAGGTGGCCGCATCGATCAAGAGCCACGACGAGAAACCTACCTCACCTCATATCAATTCACCCCGCTGTTCTATCACCTCATCACCTAGCATTTCCATCACTGAGAGAGGCCACCAGGAGTTTGATCCTTCGATCGGTGCCAAGCCATGCTCTCCTTTCTATCGCCATGGAAGTCCTACGATCTCATACGAACAACTCACCTTCGAGAGCAAGAACAACAACCGGAATCGAAGCCACCTGCGGGACCTCGAGAACGCCGGTCCGTACGCAGCCTCCCGTACCGACAGTCCCCGCCGATCTAAGCTGTGGGAGGAGGAGAACAAACCTCGGACTTGGCTGCAATCGTTGAGCAACAAACAAAAAATGGCACTCAAGGCGGTGATCGCTGTTGTGACAGTTGGGACTATGATTGCGATTGCGTTGGGAATCACTGCCGCTGTGGGAGGAGCGGCCTGGAAATCGAGTGCCGAGAAGACAGCCATGGGAGGCTAGGTGCGTGTCTCCGACTGTCCAGGTGGAATTATCATTGACCCACCATATAGCTGTCTACGTTTGATTCAAGACACGACCAGCCATTCATTTGCTTGTTGTACCTGTGGCGGTGAGGTCACAATCCTCTCTTTTGATCGGAAACTTCATTGGGAGGTGTTTATTCTTAGATGTTCACAAGGACTGATGCCATGGCCAGTGTCAAGGTGCCCGGCCATGATGAATTTATTGTTATTGATCACGTGCACAGCCATAACGTAAGAAGAAGGAACAACGTAGCCCCGAGCCGGGATCCACCGCACCTACAAAAACGCGCGAAGTTTTTCGACGTTTCCTTCTTTTTTCTTTTCTTCTTCATCAAAAAAGCAACGGAGCCCGCCACGACCATCGTTCTGTCTTCGGACGAATTCCACGACGATGTGTTGCCTTCGCTCCCGCTCGCGGGAGCGTTCGGCTCTGGAGATTGATGATCCTCGATAGGAAGTTCGTTTCTCTATGTGTCTTCTTCAGTGAGGGCGATGGGATTCGAATGTCGAAGACGGGATACATTCCATTGACTCAAGCTATTCAAGCTGAGCTAGTGTAGCAGCCTATGCATTGATGTGTGCTGGGCCTGAGTAGATTTTTAAGAAACCCCTGGCTCGCCAGCTGTGTTTTTTGTTGGTGGGCTTGGCCGGTTTCAAGTGTTGCCGAGCCCTTCAAGTCCGGACGTGTAAACTCTGTTTGATCCTGGATCAATGCTTAATGTTTCTGTTGACATCATTGGGAATCCCATGTTGTCAGGCGGAGGTTTTGTGTGCCACACCCGAAGCCCAGTGGCATCATGATCGACCATATTCTGGTCTATCTGGGACATCAACACATCGACAATGGCATCACAACCCAACAACCTCCTATGTGATTCGAAGGGCTTAGACATCAAGCACTGCCAAGGAGCTCATCTGGTTGGCTAGCAGGTCGCGTGAATGCTACGGTTCCTGTCCCATCCCTATCCAAACACTTCCGGAATGCCGCAGCACCACCTTCCGAGAAACCACACGGCAGTTGTTTATGATCCAAGCTCGATCGACGGCCCATTGCGCACTGATTGGGATTGTTTTCATTCTCAGCGACATTCTTAAGGTTCTTCCCACGCCTTGGCCTCATCTCGAGGCCCGGTGCCCGTCCAGAGATCGGCATGCCTACCGGTTGGCCCGGTCATCATGAATGTACCGGAAGTACTAGAGATATAAACATCTCCTGAAGCTTTAGAAAGCGCTACTTGCTGTTTTTAGGGAGCACCTTCGACCTATCGTGCCGTTCTTTTGTGCTCTCGTAGCATTGCTTTGAAGTCGCTCTTTTAATCCCGAAGGGCGAGATCATACATACCCTTTTACAGTAATACCTATACTTCCGCAATCATGAAGGGCTTCGTCGGCGGAATCCCTATCGCGCTGCTTGCAGTTGCTGCCCAGGCTAAGTTTGTTGAGCATGCATGTGACCTGTCACCTGTATACAAACATATGTGCTGACGAACTATACAGCAGGAGCATGATTTCGTACCCCATGCCGGTGCCACCGTTATCGGCGGTCCCTCTGGAGATGACAGTGATGGTGGCTTCACCAGTCCCTATGCTGCCAATATCAAGACCAACACGCAGGTCCACGAGTACAGCAAGGATGATCACTCCGTCCACTTGAAGCACAAGGATGTGTATCCTCCTCCCCATTTCCACTTCGGTCCCCCTGTTGTTGAGAAGGGCCCCCAGGTCCCTGGCATGGGTCCTTTCGAGAAGCGTGGCGCACCTGGCGGCACTGTTATCGGTGGCCCCTCTGGTAACGATGAGGGCCAGAGCTTTGACATGCCCATCACCGGCATCTTCCAGACGGAGGTGAACGACTACAACAAGGATGATCACTCCATTGCTGTCAAGAACGAGGACGTCCACCCTCCCCCTCCGTTCCACCCACCTCCCCATGGTTACCATGGCCGTCCCGCTGGTCCTCCCTCCGCAGCATTCAATGCTCCTCCCTCGACCTTTGAGAAGCGTTGGGGTCCCGAGGAAGAGGATGGTACCCTCATCGGTGGACCCGGTGGTGGTTCTCACCACGGCCCTGCTGGCTTCCCTCATCCCCACGGTGGCACCGTCATTGGCGGTCCTTCCGGTAACGACGAGGGAGTTAGCTTCAGCAAACCAGTCACTGGCCACTTCAAGACCGATGTGAACGAGTACAGCAAGGATGATCACTCCGTCCACGTGAAGCACAAGGATGTCTACCCTCCTCCACACTTCCCTCCCTGGGGTGCTCCCTTCAAGCGCGGCTGGGGACGCGAGCATGAGCAGGGTGCCACCGTCATTGGTGGCCCCTCTGGAAACGACGGTGGCCAGAGCTTCAGCGCTCCTGTTACCATCGACACCGACACTGATATCAACGAGCACAACGAGGATGATCACTCCATTCACGTGAAGCACAAGGATGTCTACCCTCCTCCTCACTTCCCTCCCTGGGGTGCTCCCTTCAAGCGCGGCTGGGGACGCGAGCATGAGCAGGGTGCCACCGTCATGGGTGGCCCCTCTGGAAACGACGGTGGCGAGAGCGTCAGCGCTCCTGTTACCATCGACACCGACACTGATATCAACGAGCACAACGAGGATGATCACTCCATTCACGTGAAGCACAAGGATGTCTAC